CCTCGTAGGAGAGGTGCTCCAGCCCTCGGATCATCTTTGTGACCCTCCTCTGGACCCGCTCCAACACCTCCATGTCCTTGCTATGTTGGGGGCTCCAGAGCTGGATGCAGGACTCCAGGTGGGGTCTCACAAGAGCAGAGTAAAGGGGCAGAATCATGTCCCTCAAACTGTTGGCCACGCTTCTCCTGATGCAGCCCAGGGTACAGTTGGCTTTCTGGGCTGCAAGCGCACATTGCCGGCTCATGTTGAGCTCCTGCAGCAGAGGCCGGGTGGACAGCTTGTGTAGGAACCACTGGAGCCATCCTTACGCCAGGTGTCCTCAGCCATGAATCAGAGCCCAAACATGGTGTCCAAAGGGACCGCACAGTGGTGCCATCAGTTAAGTCTGGAATGACATCCACAGCCCCCGGGATGGCACCGCTGCTTTTCCGCGGCCTCAATCTTGTGCTCCATCACATTCTTAAGACAGACATCTTCTTCCAAATCCAGAAACTGAAGATATTACTGCTGATTTCTGCTCCCCATGAATGGGATTTGTCAGCACTAAGAATATCTGGTTTACATTTTAGCATGCTGGAAGAGGACTGTGTAATCTGTGCTGCGAGTGCTGACGCAGGAGACAGTAAAACAATAACCGCTTAGAAAAGAAGCTTTAGTTATTAAACTGCTGGAGGCATCCGCCAAATAAACGTGTCTTCACCCTGATTTTGTGTGCAGCGCCTAACTTTTCGAGAAGATTCTCAGTGCTCCACGGCACTTGTCCCAGTGCGTTTGCTTTTGTGGTATAAAGCTTTTTGGTGTGTGACGGTGCTTTGAGAAACTCTGCAAAATACTAAAGTCATCTTTCTCTTCTATGTTTCAGTGGGAGATGTTACAGCAAACACAGGAGCCTTGGGTATCAAGAGAAAAACATGGAGTGATGGTAAGAGCCCCTGACTTTTTAATTCATCTATACACTGCTGTTGAATGGGATGCCAGATTCTAGTTTCCAGTACTCAAACAGTTAAATTAACGCCCAGCTCCAAACCAACACCCTTCTCTCACCCTCAAAAATCTGCAAAGGAAGAGTCCTGATAAATATCTGGGCCTAAGGAAAACTGCAATTTCTTTATTTCAGTCCTCATCCCTGGTATAAATGAGGTAAACATCTTTGATTTATAATAATCAAGTGCAAGGAAAAGATAAAAAGATTTCAAAAAGAAGAAGAGGAGAAGATAAAAATATTTTTAAAAGAAGAAGATGTCTTAATTACCTGTGTTGCTCAGAGGAAAATAGGGACAATACCACAACCATGGTTGTGGTTTCCTCTTATTATAGTATGTGTCAGTAAATGAGGGGAGAAATCACATGCTCGGATATCTAATGTCTAACGTATTGTCTAACACATTGTATGAGAGAAAACAGGTTAAGACAGCTATTCCAAAGAGAAGGTATGGTATAGAATCACTAAGAGAGAAGAATGGAGGGGTGGATAGAAATCTGCAGCACGCAGTCTGATATCGGAAAAGTCAAGAGTTTATTTTAATTCCTGGCAGAATTGCCAGGCCCGAAATAATCAAAAAGTCCAACAATGAGGGATGACAAACTTAGTTTTAAGGAGGCTCCCCCCTATTTTCAATGCTAAAATGATGTCTGGTCTACAGACAGACGAACACAAACAGATCCAAACACCACGTTTGTGAATTCAGCCTGCACCGTACGCCATCACAGACTGTAACCACCAGATCTAACTCTGTGTGATTAAATATACTTTCATTTATTGCCTGTTAGATAAGCATGCCTTGGAGAAGGCGGTAGCTAGGCAAAGCTGAAAGTTTCAAACGTGAGTGATTTTCACAAGGTCTGCTTCGTTCCCTCTCGCCGTTATACAATGACCCCTTACACAACACCGGGCATCGCCTGCCAAAAGGGTGGAACGGGAGGACAGCGGTAGGAAAATCTGGCATGGGCTAAACTTCAGCGGCAGCCGCTCTCTGCCTCGGGCACTCTAACCGCATACTTTGCTTTTGTCCACAGAGGTGTCACCTGTCCCGCTTAAGAAAAGCGCTTCTGAAAACACCATACTCCACTTCCAAAAACTGTTAACGGAGAGAGTGCACACAGTAACAGAAGGCAAAAAGCTGCTGTTAGAAAGGCTTTGTAAGCAGGAAGAAATGCAAGACCTCCGCAGAACACAGCTGTACGCTGACCCGTCAGCCATACAACAGGTTGGTTTCATGAACTTTCTACAAAATTAGCATGCAAAGAAATTCTCTCAGTAAGAAATTAAGTAGACTTCTTTATGAGTGTAGATCACCCACACGAGTACACAATTGCTCCCCTTTAATATACTCGCCACCTTCAGGCATTTAAACTAAAACAAGGTATGAGTTCCCATCCTAATCCTTAACAATGAGCTTTTAGCAGTGACGTCAGTTAGCCTAACAAAAGATACAACCTCTGCCTACATGCCTTGGCTCACCTACACGCCACAATTAACAGGCTTAATTAAAAGAAAATAACACTTTGATCAAAGAGAAGACATACAGTGAAAATTTCATCCCATCATTTCCAGTTACCGTCTCTGTGACCTTCCCAGCAAGTTAGTCCTCTGCAATTAACCAAACAGCTGAAGCCACAAGAGAACTTCTTTTTGGTTAGGCAAGGCTGGTGGGGAAACACAAGGCTTAATTCCGTTATGAGCGTTGACCCTGTGCCTGTGCTGGGCTGGTGGACCATGCCCATCCGCCTGCGGAAGGCACGGTGCTGTGCAGCAATAAACCGGAGAGAGAATTCAGTGAGGAGGAAAGTACACGGAGCTGATGCCCACCTAGAAGGGACCTGCATGGGTTCTGGTCCCTGTTCAGTACCAGGCAAGGGGTCTGCCTTGTCCAGTACCCAAATGAAGTGCAGAAAGCAGTGCAGGCAACAATAACACGGCAAGTGACAAAAGCCATGCCATAACTAATCGTTACTCTGCAATCTCCTGCAAGCCACTGCTTCGTTTTGTGATTGTGCAGGTGCTCTACAGCCTGTACTGCCTGCAAGGCCTGCATTCCTAGGGTCCTCCTCTTGGTGTCTTCAAGCAGAACAACTCATTTCTGGTTCTCAGTCAGGTTTGGGCACAGACCTGCACAGCCCTGCCAAACGTAAGTCACAGCTCAAGTCAAACACTCAAGTCCTTACTGCAGCAGCAACAGCCACCAGGGTTTTTTTATAAACGGAGGCCTAAATTCCACCCAAGTCCCTGTTCACAAAATCTTATACAAAAATATTCCTGGATATAGTGCTTTGTTTCCTGCTCTATGGTCAATTATTTCCCTGTTAATTCTTTTATGAGAGACATTACAAAGGTAAATAATTTTCACCAAGGTAGATTTTATCTGCCATTTGACTAGCATTTTTAAAACAATTCTGAGGAGTCAAAGAAAGATCCCTAGCAAATCATAGGGTTTTGATCATATTCATTTATACATCGACACGGACATACAGACAGCTGTTCCAGTGTATGCTTATCTATCACTTTTCACATTTTACATTGGTTTCTCAGTATATTTGGCTTGTAATATGAGCATCATCATTGGTTTAAAAATCTCTCTTCTCTCTCTGCAATGAGTTGGCTCAAAGAACTTGCATCTGTTCTCCTACTTGCATACAGAACTGCTGCAGGAGAATAAGGGGTCTGTCCCTGCCATCATGGCACAGACAGGTATCCTAGAACACGCTGAGCCAGCTGAAGACCTCACCGGTCCTAGCAGCACTAATATCACAGGTTACTCCTTCCACACAGGAGCCAGAAAGATGTCTGATCCAACCCAGATTCACTCTAGTACATTTAAACAGTTTAGTGCAATTTAGATTTAAATTAAGTTTTTACAGTAACTCTACCGGAAACACTATGGACCACTTGCA